ACACGCAGAAAAAAAAAAAAAAAAAAAACATTTTAATAATAAACGACGGGGATCAGGGAAGCGACGCATGTTTTTTTACCAGGGGACATAATTTCCCCCGCCCTGCAGCACAACGCCGTACATCGTATTTGGTGAGTCCGGACCACGCAGCGACGACACCGCCTTCGAGGGATACGTCCTTACTCTGAGGCGCGATCAATTTCGGGGAAAAAAAGAAAAAACAAAAAAATAAAAAAGGGGGCGATGGGCATGGGAGCGTGGGTGGACCAACCACAAGGAGGTCGTTCCGTCACATTATGTAGTCGTCGGCGTTTTCCCTTCGCCTACCTGGTTTTCTGTTTCTTTTTTGTTTTTTGTTTTTTTTTGTTTTTTTTTTCCTTTCAGGGTTTTTTTGCGATGTGCACAAAGGAGAAAGTGCGGGGGGCAGTTCCTTTGCATGGGCACCATCTCATTCCACGCAGAACAAACAGTCGTGAACCGTTCGCCCCTTCCGAGGCTCGAGCGCATCACTGCGCATGCAGCAGGATTCAGAATCGTCCGCGGAGGGAGCTCCGCGGGCCTTCAACTACGACCTGCCTCATCTTCCTTTGCCCGGGGGTGCGACCCTCTTTCGTGGGCTCCAATTTTTTGATGTATTCGGCGCGCGTTCACAATTGTTGACCCGCGCACCTCCTCTAAACCCACCAGTTGACAATTGCGGGCCAATTCAAGTGGATTCAATGCGATTGTGCCTAAATTGGCCCGCAGTACTCAACTTCAGTCATGGGAACCTGATAGCACTTTTGTTTCAACGCACACGTGTTGGAAACGTGTTGGAAAGACGTTGGACCAACGTTGAACAAATGTTGGAAACACGTCGGCCGCGTGTTGATCAAACGGTTGGAAACATAAAATGGTGATGCTCCAACGGTTAGCCACAGCATTTGTCGGCGTTCCAATGCTGGTCCGGCGCGGCGACCGAGCTGGAAACTTGATGAAATTTTTTCACATTTTTTTTGTTGATGACGCCACGGGAGCCTTTCATAACCTGATTCAATGTTAAACAGATAGATCGTTAGTAACTACTCATGCCATCCATCAATCATACCCAAACAAGTAGTAGCGTTACTCACCTGGGAGTATCCCTCTACTGTCCAAACACAATCACCTCATTTTTTCTCTCTTTAGTTGATCTCCAGATCAAACAAGCATTTAGGACGACCCTACGAGAGTTATCCTACTACCAGTTTGATGCGTAGGTGATCAAACAA